CATGATGGGGGCAGAGGACTCTGGAAAGATGGGTCTCCAGGACCGGATCCCCAGCTGAGCCCACAGCTCCCAGATCCAGAAACCATAGTCCCCTGACTTCAAGGGTCTTGCAGAAACAGGGAGACGAGGTACCACTGCAGTGGCCTGTGTGGACTAGTGACATGTAAAGGCCCCATCGCAGAGTCCTTGGCACTACAGACAGCCCCGGAGGGTAGGCAGGGGGGCCCAGGAGTAATAAGGTGGGATTTCCCTGCCAGCTCAACAAGATGGGGCCTCGGAGTCAAGATTAAGTTGATTTTTAGAGAATGAGGAAATAGGACATTTCCTGCGCCCATGAGTTTGTGAACCGAGATTTATACTTGCTACATCTCCAGTCAGTTCCTTTCCTGCAGGAACTCTGGCTCCAGCCAGGCTGGTCTGACCTTTCCTGCAGGGTCGGGCTCATTCCCATGTCCCCTCCTCCATCACTTCCAAGAGCCACTCAAGTGGCAGCCCCCTTATTCCCTGCACCACCAAACGCCTCTCCCTCCCTTCTCTGAGGCTTGAAGCTCACGGTGTCACCCATTTGACAGATGAGTATGGTGAGTTCTTTCCGCTGTGCCGGGACCTGGTTCCCCAGCTTGGCTGGGAGCTTCACGAAGGTAGAGACGTGACCCTTTCTCCCGACTCTAGGCTGATCATCGGAGCACCTGCCCCATTGAGAGACCCACCGCAGGCCCAGGGCTGGGCCTCAGCAGAGGCTCTGACCCTTTGTCAACCCCCTCTCCTCGCCTCCTCCACACCACGGCACCTGCTACCACATCTGCCGACACCCTGGGCAGACACCAAGTCCCTTCTGTCTGCAGGACCCAGGCTGCCTCAGGGATGAGCCCTGTTATCTCACCAGCAAGAGGGTGTTGGGGTGCCCCCTCTTAGGATAAGCCTTGCCCACTTCCTCCTCCGCTGGCCATAGATGGGCAGATTTTGCTGGAGCCTGATGTTGGGAAATGAACCCGTCGTGTGTTAAGAGCTTCTGAGGTCTGTGTACACCAGGACCACAGCAGATGTAAACACTCGCAGCCTCTCTCCTCCAGCTAGATAAACTTCAGGCTTTCAGGGCGAGTGCCGCCCCAGCACACTCATAGTGTTTAAAAAAGGTGTCAGCTGCAGCCCATGCTCTTGGCAAAGGCCAGCTCTCCCTCTCCGAGCTGAAGGCTCAGATTCCAGGCCACTGATGCTCAGGCCAGGGGGCAGGGGGCACAGAGCTCATCTCCTAAAGGGGCCAGCCTGGGACCCTCTGGTTTATAGACAAAGGGGGGCTATCCATGAGGAATAAACCCTGGAATGCTCTGGAGACTCTGATGTCCTCCAGAAGCCCTGCCTGACCTATGCAGACATGTTTAGTTTAAGATTTAGATCCTGTGAAAATAAGAATGCTACCCCCCCAACCCCTGACATGGAAATATTTTAAACTTTATCATGTGTTATTCATTTATTCATCTGACATTTATCGAGCATCTACTATGTGCTGATGTGCCAGGCATTATACTGCCCTGCCACTCAAAGCTACCTAAAATCCCATCATCAGGGCTAGTCCCATTAGTTTAAGGCTTTCTTATCTATATCTATATATGTTAGATAGGGATATAGATATATACATACATATTATTAGATATAAGATTCCCCATCCCTCACCCCTGAGTCATATTTTAAATTTTATTCATCATTTTTATTCAACCAACATTTACAGGGCACCTACGATGTGCTGGCCACTCTCCTAGACACTGGACAATCCAGGCCCTAAGATTCTCCCCACCCATGTGACAGGGAGGTGACCAGGGAGGTGGCTTCGATGGGCCTCCAGAGAGAGGAGGCCGACAGACCAGCAAAGGCTGTGCAGGACAGAGGCACGAGATCAGGGATGTGGCCCACCTCACCGGCAAATGGGACCTGGGGCAAGCCTTCCCCTCTTGGGGGCTCCCCGTCCTCCTCTCCAAATGAGGAACTAGATCTGGGATCCTGGGTCTTTGAATTTCACGGACCAACAATATATCAAAAACCTAATTGAGAGAGCCACACCGCTCACCAACGTTTTATTCCACTGAGTAAGGAACTGTAGAGACAAAGGAAACAGGCTAACAATTCCCATCTGCCATCACCATTATTTCACGAGAGAAAGGACATTTTAACCCAAAAAGCAAGACGGGCATATAGTCTCAGAACGGAGGCTGAGCCTTCAAACCGATTCATCCAGCTGAATAAAAAGCCAGCTGCGTTGTCCCTGCTGTCCTCATCCTGCCCAGTTCACAGATGACCCACAGCACTTTCCAGCACGAATGTCCCATGATACTGCTGCGTGTGACCCACTGACGCTGTGACCAAGTGGCCCAAGCCCAGCGCCATCTCCAGGCAAGAGACACGGTGAGGGGACTTCTAAAGGCATCTCTCAGACCTGTTGAAGGGGCACCCACTCCACAAGGCTTCCTGGAGCCCCCCTTTCCTCTCCCATCCACTTCCCCCGTCCCTGCAGCTGCTCCCACCTTCTCCTCCCCCAAACTCCCTGAGAACCAATTCCCCTCCCATCGCCAGTCTCCAGGCCTCCAGCCCAGGGGCCGCAAGAGTGCAGACCAAGAGGAGCACTCGCCAGCTCACGCCCTGTGTAACGGGGGCGGCCGCTGTTCAGTCACGGCGGACACTCGTGTGCCTCCCACACGCCCCTCTAGCTGCTGGGAGTGCTGGGGGCAGAAGGCGGTCCTCTGTCACCGCCTTCAGCCATTGCCTCAGCTGCAGAGAGCAGCCTTGTCTGAGGTCACGCCCCTTCTCAGGCAGCCTACATCAGTGTCAGTGTGGACGTGTAAAGGCCTGGCCGCCTTTGCCCTACAAAGGGCAACTCTACTGGGCATTCTAGTTCAGAGCGCCGGACCCGTGGGGCTGTCCAAGGCTGCTGTCTAACATCAGGGTCCTGTCCACGGCTGCTGTCTAACATCAGCGCAGCTCAACTTCCTCCTCCGCCCGCCCCTGCTTCCTTCCCTCCCTTCCCCAGATGTGGATCCCAATACGCCTCTTAATAAACATCCTGCTCTCTCAAGTCTGAATCAGAGTCTCTTCCCAGGGGTACCCAACCCGCGCCATCAGCTCAGCCCATTCAGCCAGGACCAATGGGCAGCCTTCCCCCCTCCACTTCCTGGCAGAGGGGCCTTCCCATACACGGACCTCGAGGAGCAAACTGGAGTCCTGATGTGTCCATAGGAGCTAAAGGAATTTAGAAAATTGTTTTTCTCTTTTAATCAAAACTAGCCTTCAGGACCATTGTCGAGCGACAGACTCAGCAGGTCAGCTCTGAGCAGCAAGGCCTATCAGCAACCCCTTTGCCAGGGCGGCCCCCACCCTCTCCGTCCATGAGGCTACAAGAGCACAGTTGGAAAGCTTCAAGGACACATGATTTAAGGGGGAAATAAAAACTCCTAGATCTAATAGCTCCACAATATAATCCCCATGACATATACAATGGTGGTGGCGGGATGCTGGGCGGGGAGGAACGTGTACTATTCTGGGCTTCTATGACCGGTGACACGCTCTTGGGTGTCCCAGCCCTGCACTGTGCTCACACCTGAAGCTCAACGAATTCCGCTGCCTGGGAGTAGGAGGCAGAAGAGCAAAGAGAAGGTTGTCTTGTGCTGTGTCCATTTCTACACATTCTACCTCTAAAACCCTGGCCAGCGGAGCATGAGACAAACAAGCCCAACGTTGAGTGGCTGCTGCAGCTGCCAAAAGAGATCAAAGGCGGAGGCCCTTCAGGGAGGACAGGCATCCAAACAGAGGCTGGTGGCCCGCTCCAGAGAAGGAACAGCCTCCGCCCCACGGCCTGGCAGGGGCTGGAGCAGTCGTGTCTGCAGCCGACTCTGGGAGGGCAGGAGTCCCAAGGCCCCACAGGACACACCCCCACAGGGGGGTAGGGGCCCAGGGAGCAGCCCCTCCCTGAGGAGCAGGGCTGGATTCCCAGGAGACCAAGCACACACGTCACTCAGCAGCACAGCAGGGCCACCAGTCCTGGTGAATGAGAGCCTTCCTCGGCTTTAATGAGGGACACAGCCTGCCCTTCTGAGCCTGCCCGACCTGGAGGGTCCACACACCCACAAGTGTGCCCAGGTGTGCACAGGCGCACAAGTGTGTGTGTGCTTACACACGTCGGCCACGCACATACAGTCACTCAGAAACAGCATTGCAGCTTCAGGTGGTGCCTGGCACACACGTACACAGTCAACGACCAAGAGCAGACTCCGGCAGGCAGCCCCTCAGGCTGTCTGGGGCTCACGGAAGAGGCAGTGAGCCCCGTCCTTGTCCCAAGACAGTGGTTCTCAAAGTGAGGTCCCTGGACCAGCAGTATCAGCATCACCTGAGAACTTGCTGGAAATGCTTTCAGTTCTGTCTTCCTGCTGCAGAGCCCAGAGCCGTTGGGGGGCAGGGGGGTCTCCCGTGGACTACAACTACCTCTCACAATTTTTATGTGCCCGTCCCTGTGCTAAATAGCCTTTACGTACATTATCTCATTTAAACTCACAAGTATACTGTGAGATGTGTACCGTATTGTCCCTATTTTTTAGGTGGGGGAGCCGAAGCTCAGAAAGGTTAAGAGACTTGCCTGGAGTCACCAAGGCCGATTCAAACCCTGTCTGGCCCGCAGGCGCGTGCTCCTAACAGCTCTGTAGCTGTAGCTCCCAGCTGAATGTAAACACCTCCCCGCCAGGACTGCGCCCTCCAGGCCAGCCCCGCCCCAGCGGCCCCCTGGTTCCCTGGGTCTCTCCCTGCCTCAACAGCCAGTTCTAAATCTTTTCTCAAGAGACGAGGCTGGGCCATCCAAGCAGAGGGTGGGATGGAGGGCAGGAGCCAGAGCCCCATCCCGTGAGCAGGCAGCACCTCTGCCAAGGCCCTGCCCCGCCCTGCGCTGGAGAGCGGCAGGGAAGGCGGTGGCTCCGGGGGCTAGCAGCCCAGCCTGCACCCCGAGGCTGGAGAGGAGGCTGCTGCGCAGCTGACCTGTGGATCCACGGACTGCTGCTGTGCCTCATCTGATCTGGAATGTTTCCTGAGGAGCGTTAGGAGGGACCTGGGTTTGACTTCTGGCTGTCACCACCTTCTTGAGTGACCTGGGCTGGTCCCCTCCTGGAATCTCTTTTTCCATTTCTGCAGTGAAGAGGTTGACTGATGATTTACAATGATGTTTCCTGCTCTGAAACTCTATCTTGGATTCTAGATTTCCATGTGACATTGGTGAAGTCTGGCCGGGGCATGGGACTCTGAAAGGCCAATGGCTCCAGACCTGGCTGTCCGCTCAGCCTAACTCATCTTTGCTTGAGACCTGGGAGTGACCCCCGGCTCCCCTGACGTGCCTGGCTCTGCCCCTACTCCCCTCTCTCCCTCACACTCAAGCACCAAAGAGGATTCTCTTCTATAGCACATCTGAGCAGGGCCCCAGGGCCCGGGAGGAGCCGAGGAGCAAGAGGCAGCCATGGGGGCCTGTGCCGTTGTGACTGACGCCAACATCTCATTTGGCCTCGAGAGCAACACCACAGGCATCACAGCCTTCTCCATGCCCGCCTGGCAGCTGGCACTGTGGGCCACAGCCTACCTGGCTCTGGTGCTGGTGGCTGTGACGGGCAATGCCACGGTCATCTGGATCATCCTGGCCCATCAGAGGATGCGCACCGTCACCAACTACTTCATCGTCAACCTGGCCCTGGCCGACCTCTGCATGGCCGCCTTCAATGCCACCTTCAACTTCGTCTACGCCAGCCACAACATCTGGTACTTTGGCCGTGCCTTCTGCTACTTCCAGAACCTCTTCCCCATCACGGCCATGTTCGTCAGCATCTACTCCATGACTGCCATCGCCGCCGACAGGTAAGAGGGGGCAGCGGGGAAGCTGAGGGGAGCCGTCTCACTTTGCTGGGGCCCAGGCAGGGCTGGTGACTGGCCCACAGTCACACAGCAAATTAAGGGTAAAATCCAGGGAATTGCCTCCCAACTGATCGTGATCCAAAACTACACATCTGGAAGACGGGGGCTGTGGAACTGAAGCAGGTAAGGTTAAGGTTAAACACAAGGAAGAACTCTGCACTAGATGGTTGTTCAAGGCTGCAAGGGAAGAGTGGCAGTGTTTTAGGGATCTTCTGGAATGTTCTTCTCTGGAGTTGATCTCTGTGTGGTGTCTTTCTTTTACTGCAGGAAATTGCTTATATTGTTTTCCTATTCCTAGATAGATTATATGGGGGGAAATTTAATATTGCATGTAGTTACCATATAATTACAATGGGGCCAATTATTTTCCCGATGCTGCTCTCAGGGGCTGTAGACAGTGACCCTCTGTTGAAGAGGGCTGGGAGGGGTGGAGGAGTGATCGGTGGGCAAATCTTGAGTCCTTTTAAAGCTGATTGGGACAGGCAGGGCCCAGTTTCGACAAGGAAGGGGACTGTGTGCCCCTGGGAGGAGTGTGGCTAAGACAGACAGCAAACAAAAAGAGACAGAGGAAGACACCAGGCATGTGTGGGAGGTGGGGTGGGGGACCAGGGACCCTCGGAGACACAGACTCCTCGTCAAGATGGTTCAATGGGGCGAGGTCCCCTTTTGTCCCCCAACAGTCTCCATCCCAACCTAACTGCCCCAGCCACCTCACCCACAGCAGCTCACTTCTCTATTCTTGATTGTTTTGCTATGGAGTTTCCCTGAAGATTTCAATTGAGAAATTTATTTCCACTAATTAAAAACAAAAGAAAGTTTGAAAACCATTCATCTGGACCAAGCTTCTAATTTTGCACCCAAGGAAACCGAGGCTAGAGATGGGCAGGATGGCCCGAGGTCAGCCAGCCAGTCAGGGGCAGGGCCAGGTGCCTGGAACTCCGACCCCCTGGCTGTCAGCACAGGAGCATCTCCTTCATCTGATCACAACACCCTCCACCACTCAAAGCACCTTAATACCCCCGGATACTCTGCAAGTCCCACTAAGGTTTTCTTCTCGTTCACTCAACAAATATTTGAGTGCTTCCTCTGTTTCAGCCACAGTTCCAGGCACTGGGGAATATACACCAGTGGAAAAAATAGTCCCTAAACCATGGCCTCATGGACTTCCATTTTAAAGGAGGGGGTTGAGGGGGATGGACTGTAGAGGGCAGGGTGCGAGCCAGGAGGAGGCAGGAGGCTGTTGAATAGTAACCCAGGTGAGAGAGGATGGTGCTCAGGTCAGGGAAGTCACAGTGGAGACTCGTCCATTCATTTCTTCATTTCCTCATTCATTCTTGCGTTCAGTGTCTACTATGTACAGACACTGTTCTGGGCCTTGGGGAAAAAACAGATACAGATGTCTGACCTGGTGAGAATTCAAATAATGCACACAAGAATAAATAAGTTATACATTGTATTTTGAGGTCATGAGTGCTCTGGAAAAATATTAGGGAGGGGAAAGGGGATCCGAGGTGCTGGGGTACGTGGTGGGGTGGGGACAGGTTGTGATGTTAGGTAGGGTGTCAGGATTGGCAAAGACAGGAAGGAGAAGAGACAGCGAGTCCCGTGGGCTCTGGGGAAAGAACGTTCCAGGCAGAAGACGCAGCGGCAGCAGGCCTGCAGCGGGTGCGTGGCTGGTGTGTGTGAGCGGCAGCAGGAGGGCCGTTCTCACCAAGACAGGGTGGAAATGCTCCCAGGCCGAGAGTTGCCGCTCACTTAATGCCCAAGGCCCCGAGGCGTGAACTTCCTGCTCAGGACGAGGGCTAACTAAAACGTGAGGCCACGACCCACTGTCCTGGCCTTGTCCCAAGGTTCAGATTAATCCCAGGAGGAAGGTCCAGAGGTCATCTAGGACCAAAGCCATTTCTGGTAAATTTAAAGGAAATAAATAAATAGGAATAATCACGCTTTCAAATCCCGAGCCCCTGCTGCCTGCAGACACTTCTCAAGCATCTCATTTGCTCTGCACAACAACCCTAATGGCACAAATTACTATCATCCCATTTCACAGAGGAGCAAACGGGGGCCAAGAGAGCGTAGGTTGCTTGCTCGAGACCCTACTGCTGGAAAGCCGTGGAGGCAGGATTCAAATCCAGATCAGTCTGAATCCAAAGTCCCAGGCCTGCCCCTCCATTGATAGGATGAAAAGAAAAGCCTCCTCTTTCCCACCCCACCTCCTAGGACAGCAAAGGTCCCTAAGCCCCCAAGTTGACCCTCTGGTCACCTCATCCGCTGTGGGGGTACAGGCGTGCCCAAGAACCTTGAGGAAAATGGCCCACTCCTCTTGTCCTGCTGAGGCACTCGGCCCGGGTCCAGACGGTCGAGGGGTAGAACTGGCCCAGGGCCGGGCCACAGCCATGGGAGAAGGTCCTGTGACGAGGAGAGAGGGGGTCAACAGTCATCGAGTCCAGACATGCAGGACCTGCGACCACGGACTATGGGCAGGAATCCGAGGGGTCATGGACTTGTGTGGGGGGAAGTCACAATCACAAATGTAGGCGGCACACCCTGGTTTGCTGGGACTCCAGCAGTGCCTGGGACTATGTCACCAATAGAAATTGGACACTCTGGCTGTGCAGGAATCTCAGAGTACCACCCACACTCGTGACTACTTCAAAACGACCACAGTTTCCGGACCTGCTGCTAGGTCTTGTTGTTTAGTGAGTTGATAAAGAAGCACGGATATTACTATGTCCCAAATTTATTTTATATCTAGATAACTATATTTCAGTATAACTGGTTGTCTTTATAATCCTGCGTATTATATGGGCCGGCCCCCGTGGCTTAGCAGTTAAGTGCGCGCGCTCCGCTACTGGCGGCCCAGGTTCGGATCCCGGGCGCGCACTGACGCACTGCTTCTCCGGCCATGCTGAGGCTGCCTCCCATATACAGCAACTAGAAGGATGTGCAGCTATGACTTACAACTATCTACTGGGGCTTTGGGGGAAAAAAATAAATAAACAAATAAAAAAAATTAATCCTGCGTATTATAATTTGCTCATATAAAAACCTCATTCTGAGGAGGGGTCTGTGGGCTTCACTGGGCAGCCAACAGGTCCATGACACAGGAGAGCCCCCCCATCTAGCCCCACACCCTCCTTCTTCCAAGGAGGACACCAAAGCCCCAGGTCACAGCACAGTGGAGGCAATATGGGGGCAGAGGTGGGGCCCCCGTCTTTGGTGGATGGAGCCCTTGGGTTCCTTTGACCTTGGGGAAGCAGGCGGCTGCCCACACCTCCCCTTCCTCAGTCAGGGCCCTCGACCCATGAGGCCTCAGCCCCGCAGTGGCTTTGGGAGTCCTGGGAACAGAGGGGAACTACACGACCTGGGTTCAAAACCAGCACTGCCTCTTGCAAGCTGTTTCTTCCACTTCTCTAAGCCTCCATCTCGTGGGGTGGAAAACGGAGAAAACAGCCCCTCCCCGAGGTAACTCGGTCACAAGACACAGGAGTGCCAAATGGCAGCTCAAATCCCCACGGGTTCCCCCAGAGAGAGGCAGGAGTGGTGGAGACCAGCCTGCCCCTGGCTGACTCGCCCGAGGAGGTGGCCTTCCACTTGGATGTTAATGAATCCAGAGAGGAAGGAGGAATTCCAGGCAGACAGGGAGGAAATGCCCCCTCAGAGGGTCAGACATGCAAGGCTGTTCCATGATCAGAGTGAGCCAGGGAAGGTGCAGGAAGCAGTGACACAGGAGCTGGGAAGTGCATTGGCAACGTGCAGAGGGCCTTGAAGGCCGAGTTGAAAGGTTTGGGCCTCCACTGTCTAACAGTGTAACCACAATCATAGGTGCCTATTTGCGTTTAAATTAATTAAAATTTAAAATTCAGTTCCTCAGTCATATTAGCCATGCTTCCAATGCTCATAGCCACGTGTGTTAGTGGCTACCAAACAGGACATTGCATACATATATAAAGCACGTGCCCATTGCAGAAAACTGGTGGGCAGCGCCGCACTGGGCTTTGTCCAGGAGACTGTCGGGCTCTGCCAAGGCTTCTGAACAGAAGAGGGAGCGGCGTGGGGCTGAGGGGCTCGGCAGGGCTGAGCTTCAGGCGAATACCAGGAGACGGACCTCCAGTGTGGCCACTCTGTTCTCCTGTGCCACCTGAGAGCACATCCACGCTCAGAGGGAGGCGGTGTGGTGGGCGCCTGGGCTGGGGTTGAGGGCACCAGCGTGCTGTGTGGCTGTGGGAGGGTCACCAGCCCAGCTGGCTCTCTGCAGGTCCCCCGCAGCAGTGTGGGGAATGGGGCTAGAAGGTGTGGGCCTGGGGCGGGGGAGAGAGGGGTGGGGAGCTGGTCCCACGGGAGGGCGCCCACCGTTCACACCGCCCTCTGCTCACAGGTACATGGCAATCGTCCACCCCTTCCAGCCACGGCTCTCAGCCCCGGGCACCAGAGCAGTTATTGCTGGCATCTGGTTGGTGGCCCTGGCGCTCGCCTTCCCCCAGTGCTTCTACTCCACCATCACCATGGACCAGGGCGTCACCAAGTGTGTGGTGGCATGGCCTGAAGACAGCGGCGGCAAGACGCTCCTTTCGTAAGGCTTGGGGAGTGGGGGAGCATGTTGTGTGTGTGCACGTGTGTGTGTGCACATGTGTCTGTGAGTGTATTGGGGATTATGTGAGCACACGTATTTACTAAAAGTAACACTTAGTACTTACTAAGTGTCAGGCTTCTTCAAAGCACTTTACGTATATGAACCCATCTAATTCTCCTAACAATACGGGCTATGTATTATTATTATTCCCATGTTTCGGATGAGGAAACTGAGGCACTAAAAAATTGCCATGTGCCCAAGACCACACAGCTAGTAAGTGGTGAAGCGAGGATGTAAATCCAGGCAGTCCTGCTTCAGAGCCCAGGCTCTTCACCACTCTGCTACTTAAATAAGGATGCGTGTGTCCTTAAATGAGGACAGGTATGCGTGCACATGGGCAGGCGACGCTACACGTGCAGGCATGCTGCCCCCACTCGTGTCTGTGTGTGTGTGTATGTTTGTGGGAGTGTGTGTGCACACAGGTATGTGTTTGGGAATGTGTGTGTGTTTGGGGCAGGGCGTTGTAAATGCTCAGGCCACAGAAGGTCAGGGTATTGAGGCAGAAAGAAAGGGCAGCTGACAGAGCCTGAGATGTTTTCAGGAGGACAGCTGGGGCCTGCCTCAGGCTGAGATGGGCACCTAGGCCTGGGAGGTGGGAGAGGGGGTAGAAGCACTCAGGCACGGTCCAGCCACTGTGTGACCCTGGGTAAGTCCTTTCCCTTTCTGGGCCTCAGTTTGCCCAGCTCTCACGGCGTGGCTTCGCGATCCGCAAGCATGGTGTGGTTGGTTAGTAGAGGATAAAGAATTGATTGAGGTTTTGGAGTCAGTAGTCAGGTAGGAGTCCTGCTCTGTCCCCTCCTGGGTGGCGAACCCTTTGTAGTCACCTAACCTTTCTGACCCTTTGGTTCCTTCTCTCTCAAATGGGGATTAGTAAGAGAACCTTGCTCAAGGGTTGTTGTGAGCACACAAGAGAAAATGTACGTGACGCCTTTAGCACCGGGCCTGGCACAGAAGTGGTACCCAGGATGTGGCAGTTTAAATAGAGAACAAATGAAACCAAACCTGGAGGTGGCAGCTTTAGTCCGACAAAGGCCCAGCTGCCCCAAAGCATGAGGATGTACCTGCTCGGAGCTGAGGACCGCCAGGTCACCATGGCAACACAGCCCCCACTCCCGCCTCCTTTAACACCTCCCCCAACGTCCACCCCTACCTGATCTCCATCTGTCCTGAACACCGGCCAGAAGGGGGCGGCGCTGCGGTCTTCAGTGCTGGGGAAGGCCCATTCCTCTGAGAAGCCTGTTCCTGGGGACTGATGAGTTTCAAGGGCCGAGGTCTCTGCCCCCACTCTGTACCCCACCTTCTCAGACGGACTCACTGTTCGAAGGGCGGTGTCCTTGTAGGGAAGCACCCGGCTTTCCGGCTCAGGGAGGGTGGAGCGCAGAATATTTCATGACTGGCCACTGGGGGGCGGTGTTTCTCCACCTTAATACAAGCTTTTCTCCCTGGGAGGGGGACCAGTAAGAACTTAGGGTTCCAAGCACCAGCTCTCTGGGGATGGTGAGTTCCAACCCTGACTCAGGCAACAGGGAAAAACAGGATGTCAGAGGTGGGCTGGGAAGTCTATACTTCGGTGTTAGAATTCTGAGAGGATCTGGGGAAAGCCTGGTTTTACGTGTGAGAATGTATTATTTGTTCTTGAGTGGGGAAGCTTCTGAGACCTAGACTGGGGACTCCATCCACACAGGCTCACATCCTGCGTGTGTAGGAATCTGATGAAATTACAGATGCCCTCTCCAGGTTAAAATGCACATACACCCCCAAAATCCAAATACAGAACAGACAGTGCAGGCTGTGAGAGGAGGCACCCCTGATTTGGGAAGGCCCTAGAAGATGGTCCCCAAGGCTCCTTGGCGCTTCCTTCTGTGGAGCCTAGCCCTAGCCCAGAGTGAATTCCTATCCTGCACCACATTCCAAGGAAAGAACGAGGCAATGGAGAGATGTCACTCGTATTGGGGAAGGATCTTAGTGATTTCTTCCTCGTTTTACGAGTGGGGAAACTGAGACTGGGGGAGAGATCTGACTTGCCCCAGGTCACTCTTTAAGTTAGAGGCTGGACATGAACGCAGTTCTTCTGACTCCACTGGGCTGAGCCTCAGTGAAAGGAAATCGTTTGGGTGTTGATTAATTCTGCAGCGCTGAGTCATATGACACAGACCTTCTGTGCCTCTCGGAGCCTCAGTTTCCCCCTCTGGACACTGAGGCAGGTGGCCCTGCTGATCCTCAAGGTCTATTTAGCTCAGACACTCTGTGACTTCACAATTAAGGGAAGGTGACAGGGGCCTGGCACTCGCTGCTCCTCCCCCCACTCACCTGCTCCACAGTAGGACCAGATGAGGATCAGGGCATCTAGGAGCCCCCACACATTTTGTAATTAGCATGCTTGCCAAAAGAGCAAGCAAGCAGAATTCTAAACACAGGCTTTAGGGAAGACATTTGTTGGAGCCACCTGTTCCTCTCCCTTGGGTGGCAGAGCCTCTTGAAAGGGGCCCAGCAGGACTGGCACATGGTGGGTGGGGGTGGGGGGTTTGGGACACCTCAGCCTTCCTAGAAAATGGTCACATGACAGGGCCAGGGGTCTCAGGCCCATTCACAGGATGCTCCCGCCTGGGCCCTGTTGGAGAGCAGCTGCAGCATCGCTCAGAAGCCAAATGGGCAGCACCCATCTCCTTTACACCATCTTTCCAAAAGGAAATGAAATGGCCTCAACACAGCCTGGGGTGTCCTCCATGGGACCTGGATGAGGAACCAACAGTGGTGTTCTGGGCTGCTTGCTCAAAGCTGGTGTGAAAGAGTGTCTGCTGACATGAGCCGTGTGCCCAACCAAATGCTGATGGGCAGGAGGAGATGACCCAATAGCATGTATAGTGTGGTGCATTTCCACTGCTGCATTCCGCGATAGGGATGTTGGTGCAGAATGGAACCACATCCACTCCAGGAAATCTATCTATCCAGACAGATGCAGATATCAATTATATACATCATCTATCAAATACATATGTGTATTTGTATATTTACAAATGTGTATATATATATACACACATATGATTCTGGAAGAAAATATTTCCAATTGTTAATAGTGGTGAGGATGGGTTAAGTAATTTTACTTCCTCCTTTGTGCTTAATGGCATTTTCAACTGTAAGCCAATTTTTTACAAATTTTTTCATTCCTATTTATTTTCTTTTTTGGTACTTTATCAGCTGGAAGGACACAGGGCTAACGCTGTTTCCCTTTTGCGGCAGGGGAAGCCCTCTTTGGGCACATATGCTAGCCAATGTTGCCTTTATTATCATTTTTTTCTTTAAAACAAACCAAGGCCTTGAGAGGCGGCTCAAGGTCACCCATGGGATCCGGGTGCCTGAGCACTGGTAGATGCCAGAGTCACCTCCGGGCCGTCCCGTGCCCAGGCCCTTGGCTTTCCCTCCAGGTACCACCTCGTGGTGATCGCCCTCATCTACCTCCTGCCTCTCGTGGTGATGTTCATTGCCTACAGCATCATCGGCCTCACGCTCTGGAGACAAGCGGTCCCCGGGCACCAGGCGCACTGCGCCAACCGGCGCCACCTGCGGGCCAAGAAGAAGGTGGGCACGGGGGGGCGGGCCGCAAGGGGGTGCCGTGGAGGACAGGATCCAGCCATACCTTGCCTTTGTCCCAAGTGTCTGGCCAGAGTCTGAATTCAGTCTTCCCGGGCGGGCGGACATTAGTCTTTGGCAGAATACCGAGTTAAAGGAACTTTTCAGAATGTTAGGAGAATCAGGGAATCATAAAGTCCCAGAGAATTTCGGATACCTTTAAGAATCTTAGAGTGATAGAATCTAAAATCTTAGACTTTTTGAGTAATCAGAATGTTGAATTTAAGAAGCCTCACAGAACCACAGGCAGCTCCTAGATAGAATCTGAGGAGAATTCTTAAAGGCTGGAACTGCAGACCCCAGAGATCATGGAGACCGGAGTGTAGTCCAGCTACATTGTCTGTCCCCAGTTTCCAACCGAAGTGGCAGTGTCCCCCCAACTCCCTACCATTCGGGGCCCCCAAGGGTCCTGATATACTATGCCCCAGACTCCCTCCATTCTCTCCACATCAAAGCTTATCTCTTCCGTTCCCCTTTCCCATTGGCGACCAGTGGGTCGATTGTATCAGGTATCGGGTCAGAGTCTCGAGCTTCTCCTCTGCTCTTAGGCGTCTTTCACAGGGCGGTTCAGGGGGTAGTAGTTGGATATGGGACACCTTCTGGTGTCCCTCCTCATGGAGAGCTGGTCTCCATTTGCCATCCTTGGCTTGCCCTCCACCCCTCATGGGGTACTGGCCATGCTCGAGGGTGCCTACAGAGACCAGGCCGCGAGGGGGGAAAGGTCAGGGAGCTGGCCCCTGGGCAGAGGCTGGGGTCCCCGGTTGGAGCCTTACTACCTATGGATAGAAGGGCTGTGGCAGGCACAGATCCCAGGGAGAGGGGGGCATGGGACCCCACGGCTGGCACAGGGGCTCCTCTAAGGGTGGGGTTAAGAGTTCATCCACTCTCCAGGGAGGGGAGCTGCTGAGTGAAGGATCTGGGATGCCTTTTAGTGGCCACTGAGCTGGGCTTCGAGGAGTGAGGACTTCACAGGAAGGACAGCAATGTGGGCAGAGGGACCAGCCTGAGCGAAAGCCCCAGAATGGAGGGCCCAGGAGTGTCTGGGCAGCAGATGCTCCAGGGCACTGAGGCCACAGGGCTTCCCGGGCTGGCATGAGGGGTGCCCCGCTCCCGCCATCTGGAGGATTGGGGCGTGCGGCCTCCAGGCTGAGGAGTGAGCTGCGCCTCTCCCGGACCAGATCGTGAAGACCATGGTGCTGGTGGTGGTGACGTTCGCCATCTGCTGGCTGCCCTACCACCTCTACTTCACCCTGGGCAGCTTCCAGGAGGACATCTACTGCCACAAGTTCATCCAGCAGGTCTACCTGGCGCTCTTCTGGCTGGCCATGAGCTCCACCATGTACAACCCCGTCATCTACTGCTGCCTCAACCACAGGTGAGCCCTCACCCGGCCCTGCCCTCAGCCCCATCTGGACCCCTACACAGCTTGAGCCTGTGCCCCTGTGCCCCCACCCCCACGCGGGATTGCCGTCCTCACAGTGAGCCCACAGCACAATCCGTCCTCTGGTCCGGGCCTACCTTGAGCCCCACCTCCTCCTCCAAGCCTTGGCACATTGCCCAGGCCATAGCTCTCACCGTCTGTCTGTCCTGCTCTCTCTTCTGGGGCTACATCTGGGACGGGGAGAAGAGAAGGGAGGAACAGAGAGATGGAGGGAGGGGGAGACAGAGAGAGGCAGAAGGACAGAGAGAGGAAGGAAGGAAAGAGCCAGGGAAAGGAGGGGGGACATTTTTAAGAGCTTCCTGCAGTGAGGAAGAACCGAGGACTGTCCTCGGGCGAGGTGAATGCACCAACCCCAGCAGCATGAAGCACGCCGTCGGAGGCCCGCGGCCAAGGCTGGAGGGAGGCAGGCCGCTCCCTGGGAAGATCACAGTGCGTTTCCTGCCCTCCGAGGGCGGTCAGGGCAGCTGGGAAGTGACCTTGGCAGAGACAGCCAGAGGAAGGAGCCGAGATCTCGCTCTTCCCTCAGACACCATCTGGTTCTCCAGCCCTCGTACTTCTGGGGAGGTGGAGTCCCAGAGAGGGGCTGCATTTGCTCTGGGGCACTGGAGAGGTGGGAGGTGGTGGGCCGGGCGAGAATCACAGCACCCAGGAGTCCTGCCTGCAGAGCAGGCCGTTCAGCCTCAGAAAACCCTGAAGGTGGGGCCAGGTCAGACATGAGAGCTGGACCCCGAGTCCTGGCCTCAGCAAGACAGTGATGTGGGTGAGGTTGGCCCTGGCTCTCTTTGTTCGTGCCTTTATCACCTCCCCGCCCATGGGTCCTGGCCACTCATAATGCCATTAGGGTCTGTGTTGCTCAGACATCCCACCCACCCGGGCAGGCCAGAAGGAAGTGAGAGAACTATGATTTTTTTTTTTTTTTTGGAGTGTTCAATGGGTACCAGAACCCCCACTTGTTTCCTGAGAGGTAAGTAGATAATAGGAGGGAGGGAGGTGTTGTCCCCATTTTACAGATGAGAAAAGTGAGCCCCAGAAAGGAAGACTCCTAAACTCGTATAGCAAGCAATGGAGCCAGGATTCCAGCTGTCTCCAAGGCCTGTAATCTTATCCCCACATCACACACGTCTCTTGCATGCAGCTTGTAGGAGTGAGAGCTTAGAGATGGGGACTGTCACATCAGGGAGGGGCCCCAGCCCTGTGTCTGTGCACTGGTCACTCTCCTGCTGCCCAACAACACAGTCCCTGGGCATCTGAACAACACCCCAGGGCTCTACAGGTTCCTGAAATAACTTCAGAATCATTCAGTGTTTGATGACACTAGCTCTGAAGGAGGGCTGGTGCTTCCGGAGGAATCTTCATTCATTCAGAAAATGTTCACCACGGGGCTGTGTGCCTGGCACTGTTCCAGGCACTTGGGTTACACCAGTGAACAGGAACAATGATCCCTTTCCTCAGGGAGCGGACACTCTCATGGGGAGAGACAGACAGAAAGCAAACATAAGGAGCAAATGAATCGCACAGCGTGTTAGGTGATAAGTCCTATGGAAAAAAGAAAAACTAGAGCCGAGTAAGGGAGCACAGAGGCACCGGGGGAAGTAGTGGGCACAGGGTTGCAGTTTTACAGGATGGTCAGGGGTACCTTATTGAGGAGTCTTTTGAGCAAAGACTGAGGATTGAGTGGGCCGTCAGCTGTCTGGGGAAGTGTTCCAGGCAGAGGGAACAGCCGAGGCAAGGGCCCTGTGGTCAGGGTGAGGACTTGGGCCGGTGCTCTGACATGAGGAGCCCTGTGGGGCTCTGAGCGGGGGAGACACACGCTCTGACTTCCCTTTTAAAAGAATCAGTCCAGCCGTTGTGTTGAAACTAGACCACAGCGGGGCAAAGGGAGAAGCAGGGGGATGGTTAGACTAGGGCAGTAATCCAGGCAGGAGATGGTGGGTTTAAACTGAAAGGAGAAGTGGTCAGAGTCTGGATACTGCTAAGGTAGAGCCAACAGGATTTGATGGAGGGGAGGTGGCATGCGAGAGTCAAGGATGACTCCCAGATTCTTGGCCTGAACAAATGGAAGGATGGAGGTGTCAGCTGTCAGGCACTGCGATGGGGACGACTGGGGATGGGCGTGAGAGGATGATGGCGAGCTGGGGCTGGGACACGCTGAGTGTCCATTAAGCTCCCATAATGGAGGCATTTTGGAGCCACACTGGAATCTCGTAGAGCTGCTAGGTGAGGAACCAGTCAAGCCTGCTTTTCTGGAACATGGGAGCTCTTTCTCTCTCTGCTGTCACACAGGGTCTCATTTATTTCTGCTCCTCTCTAACAGGCCAGCGTTCTCTTCCCGCCAGCCCATTTCCTCCACTCACTGCCTGCTTCCTCACGTGTGGACCCTCAGTGCTGCTATAGAGAGAGTTTTTTTTTTTTTACTTTTTTTTTTTTTGTGAGGAAGATCAGCACTGAGCTAACATCTGATGCCAATCCTCCTCTTTTTGCTGAGGAAGATTGGCCCTGAGCTAACATCCGTGCCCATCTTCCTCTACTTTATATGGGACGCCGCCACAGCATGGCTCTACAAGCAGTGCGTCAGTGCGCGCCCAGGATCCGAACTGACGAACCCCGGGCCAGCGAAGCACAGCGCGCGCACGTAACCGCTTGCGCCACCGGGCCGGCCCCAGGAGTTATTTTTTAAGCAAATGTACCAAAACTTAGTAGTTCTTCGTGTATATTTTCTTTCAAAGCAGTCCCCTTGGAAGAGCATCCTTATTCCACCCAACATTGCCGAAGCCCCAATTTTTTGACTCCTCTTTGAATACTCCTTTAGAAGCCAATTAACAAATCAAACAAGAAAATCTGTTGTTTCTTTTTAGTTGTACTTGGTTTCTTCGCGTGTTTGTAATAACAAATGGTCTAATTCAGCTTAATCACCCACTTCAGTCACTAGGCTTATTTCCAGATTACTTCTGGCTGTTTCCAAAAATCAAATCCACTAAGAATGTGTCTCTCCAGAGGCCCTGAGCTCTTAGGAGTAAAGCAGCGACTTTCTTCTGGAGGGGAGATGGGCTCCTGGAGGTGGGGGAGCCACATGACAGCTCCTGTAACTGTCCCCTCACCCCCTTGCTCAGGGTGACCCTCCATCCCCCAGGTTTCGCTCTGGATTCCGGCTTGCTTTCCGTTGCTGCCCATGGGTCACACCAACCGAGGAGGATAAGCTGGAGTTGACTCACACTCCATCCCTCTCCATGAGGGTCAAAAGGTGTCACACTAAAGAGATTTTGTTCATGGCCGGTGACGTGGCTGAGGCTGCCAACGGGCAGGCTGGAGGGCCCCAAGATGGGCTGCCTACTGAACCTTGAAGCCTTACGCCTGGCTGCAGGGCGAGGCTTAGCACTCTTTGAGAAGTAGCCAGTCGAGAGGACCAGATCTGAAAGTTTGGCCCATGTCTCACCCTTCAGCACATCAACGGAAAAACAAGATGGGCCAGGAATTCTGCAGTGGACGCTGACTCGAAGAGGACCCAGCCTCCCTCTCAGACAGCGCTTCAGGGGATCCAATAAGACTCAAAGATGACAGTGTGAGCTAACGCGTATCTAATCCAGGAGTTGCAAGCTCAAATGCCTTCCCAGGGCATACAACATAATGAGTAAATTGGATCCAGTACCTGCAAATGTGAAGATAGAAGGCAACTCACTTGCAGTTGGGGTAACAGGGAATGGTGGGGACTGTGGCAAACTGGAGGGCATAGGCATCCAAAGGGGACAGCAGCTGATCAGCTCTGGACAAATGTTGCCATGTAGTAATGGGAGCCCATTATTGCCAGGTCTTCTAAATCTTTAAAGAGAAGCCAGAAGTCCAAATTTGTGAGACTTCCAGACTTGTTAAATTTGGCTCACATTTTCATAAACGTTGGTAAACCAAACACCTGTGGCCAAAATCCAACCACGACACTGATTCATTTTCAGGATAAAGACACAAGGAGGGAAGCATCTTATTTTGCAAAGCCCATCACCTCTGAGTCAACCTAAGGCTTCTGTGCCTCAGCATCTAAGAACTCAGATCCAGCCCAGTGTAGATAGTGGTTAAGAGTCAAAAGGACCCTCACCTGTGTTGCCTCAGACAAGTCACTCTGACCCTCAGCTTCTTCCTCTCCCAATGGCAAAACTATCTCACAGGAATGCTGTGAGGATGAGGGAAGTGATGCCTATAAACTAGCAGGCCAAACACAGGTTAAGTGCTTAATAAACAGCAGCCATGATTTTTATTACCACCACACCAGCCCTTTTACATGACTGCCTCCTGCAAGTCAGCAGCACAGCTCACTGCTCTCAGCAAGGTGACAGGCAGAGAACCCAACCGTGCCGACTCCCAGACGGCTCCAAGCCTGGCCCAGTCCACCCCAAGGGCACATCTCTGCCTACCTGCCAACTCACTGTCCACACCCTGTGCCCCCCGGAACCATGTACCACTGTAAATGCACATCAAGAGTTTAATGTTATCTGTCTTTCCCACACAGATGCCTGTGCCATAGGCACCAGCAGTGCCAAATAAAGGGACTCTGGTCTCACCAAACCCAGTGAGCATGCAGTCCGTCCTGGGGGAAGCCACCCAGAGCTGGAGTCATGGCTTGGGAGACTCACAGGGCACCTCAACGACAGGGCACCATAATGCGGACTGATGTGGGATCTACCGACGAGCTGGGGGAGAATCCAAAATGGCAGCCATGGGGGGAACAGCCAACTCCAAGTTGAGGTGGGGGAGGGATGAAAGGGTCAGATAGGGGCCAATTTCCTACAGAAGGGGTTCATTTAAGATCAAGGAGGGGGAGAGTCCAGCAATCCTGCCACCCTGGGCTGCTGCAAGACTTCATCTGTGTTAGGGCAGGGGGTCTACTTCATCTGCTGTCTTGGAGTTGGCAGAGCAGGTGACAAAGGGCAGGATCTGCTTGGGGACGACAGAGGGGATGGCCGAAGTCGCACTGTCCTCTCATGAATCCCAGACAGCCCCTGGAAGCCAAGTTGACTTTTTCTTTGTTCCAACTACAAGGGAGGAGACCAAGCTGCTGGAGGACAGAGGCCCTCCATCCCTTTACCTTCTTAAAGGTGGTGGGGTGGGGGCTGTGGGAGCCTCTCCCCAGGGTAGCACCCTGGGGCTAGAGCAGGAAGCAGCAGGGCAGGTGCTGGGAGACAAGAAGAGAGGCTCCTTCTGGGACACTTTGCAGGGAGAGCAGCAAGTCCTCAAACCCAAAAGAAGGCCTGGGGCTGAAGGACGCAATCTTCATTTCAAACTCCCCCCTGACCCAGAAGGCCACAAAAATCCCCAGGGTTTGGTTTTCTCCGCATCCCCAGATGTCCCCACCCCCATCCCCAGCCATTAAGCATCACTTGGGTCTTTGAATTGGTACAAAGTTTACTAGGTCATACAACATGGCTCACAAAAGCGATGGGAAATTCCAACGAGGGCACTGTTGGTTGGTTGGTTCCTTTTACCCAAATGGAGACAAGACACTTTCCCGCAGGACTGCCCACCTCCCCCCCAAGATAACAGAATGCAAGACTGTCACAATGTGGCTATGACCAGTTCCACGGACACACAATTCAGTGGCATTGACACGTCCCAACGGGAACCCTGGGACACCTGACAGCAGGGGGTGCTGGGACAGAAGAAGCGGCTAATGCGCCCCTGGGAGGAGTCCCGGCAGTGTCTGCTGGTGATAATACATTTCACAGGGAGTGCGGCCCAAGGACAGGCTGCGGAGGCCCATAAGGCCTGTCAGATGGTGTGACTTTTCATCTTGGGCCAATAAATAACTGTTGGACGAATGCATAAATTAGAAATGGACGCCACTAAACTTCACACGTGGGGAACGTACGACCAGGTTGAAATCAAATCATGCAGAGTGGAGGGCAGGTGAGGAGGGATCCAGAGGTGAGAGATATTATCAACAGCACACACTCTATTTTGTACCCTACGTTATGCGCCATGAGTTGGCTTTTGTGTTCCTCCCCGCTGCAGCGGTGGCGGGCTCTGGCGCCAGCGTCTCCCAGCACAGCTCGCTGGGAAGAACAGGGGGTCGCCGCTGGAAGAGAGACGTGCTGGAAGGGCAGCAGGCTGGGGGTCCAGGGCTCTTAGCTGCTCATTTCTTCTCGGAACCGTACGCCCACTGCTGTGATGAGGGCGGCCCCCTTGCCACTACCATCTTCAGACAGGAGGAAGGACACATTACACTGCGGTGACAGTTCCTTCACGGTTTGGTGCATGATTCTGGAGAAGCTAAAAAAGACAACAGAGGACGGTGAGAAGAGACAGTGGACCCACCTGAAGATGCTAACAGACCCAACAATAAGGAGGGCACACAAGATGGCAGGGGGCTGCTTAGAAGCAGCTGCGGCTTCCTGAGAACGGCGGGAGGAAAGTGTATTTACAGCCGATCCCATTAGCACAATTTTCAGTAGGGAGGCACAACTGAGAATCCAAAAAGAAGCTACTCTGTACAGCTTATAACACACTCACACACACCTATCCTCAAAGCTTGAGGCTTCCACGGGACTGAAAATCAAGAAGGGTGCTAGGGCCGAGGCAGGGACCACTGAGGCGGGCCCCAGCTGGTCCAGCGCTGGGTCAGTGCAGCAGGCTCCATGGGAACCAACATCATCCACTCCTGGCTGCAGCCTTCTGAGACACCCAGCTCAGCACCTTCAACGGCCCAGCACCCAGCACCTGAAGCCAAGAGCGGGAGGCCCTCCATGAAGGATAATCTCTAATTGAGAGGTAACTCTAGGTTCTTGCATTTTATGCTGAAAATGAGACAGGGCCAGGCTGAGGATGCTCAGGGCAATGGGGCTCTTAGAGGTAACGCTGACTGCCCTTTGTTGAACACCTGCCAGGTGCCTCCCACTGTATATACGTAATTTCATCCTGCCAGTGCCTATTATACTATGAGGAAGACGAGACGTAGCAGAGAGAAAGCAGTTGAGCACAGCTTCTAAATGGTGGTGCCAGGATCAAATCCAAGCGTGTAAAGCCCGGTGCTAAACCACGGCCGTGTGCTGCCTCAGGTGATGAAGAGGACAGCTGGGAAGGTGGACAGACAGGTGGCGATGGGGCAAGTCAGATGGTTCCATCCCAAGCCATGGCCATGAGGTAAGCAGGCAATGCCTACAGTGAGCTGGGTGAGGTTGCTTTTAAGTAGGTGACGTTATGGCCCGGTTTACCTGGGATGGTCCCGGTGCAATTAGTAGTAGCACTCTGGGGTACTGTCAAAAGCACCCCAGTTTAGACAATAAACAATATGGCCACTCTATTCCTAAAGAGCCAAGCTTTGGGACATGCGGTGGATCCAAGAACAGACGGGGCCACATCTCCTCCTCCAGCATGGGGGGTCAGAAGCTTGACCAAAGGAGGTCACTCTCCACCCCCTCCCTGCTACGAAGCCCAGGGCCAAAACTGCCCCTGCCTTCCAAGTCTCTGGACAAACCGATTTAGCAGATGAACAAGACAATTGTCCTCCTCCCCTTCCCTTCACTCCCTCTCTCCACTTACCAAACACAGCCTCCTGGCCAGGCGGCAGCTAACCCGGCTGGTGGGTAAGCCCACGTCCACCCTTACCTCCATTCCTGCTCCCCACCTGGACCCTGCCTGACCTAAGAGGGGCCCAGGAGGAGCGGGGAGAGGAACACGCCACACCACTGGTGTGAGCTGGCCAAGTGAAGCCACTTCTCTGCCTTCACTTGGTCCCCAACGGTCCCAGTTAAACTTCAGACAGCTCATTACCTCATCCCAGACAAGCCCCAGTCCCTGACCGCACAGCCTTCAGGTTGACTGTGTGCCGGTGAGGAATGTTCCTGGTGGGAAGCACATCCTGATGTCCCATAACCATCAAGGGAACTCGCCAGTCCAGGAAGCTCTGCCCATCCCAACTGGAAGCCCCACTCACTGTGGATGAAGCTTGTAGAGTGTTCCATCCACCCCGACAGTCACGTTGAGATGGTCCAGCCCTCTGTTCTCGCGGATCTTATCCACCACGGCAGCCATGCCCGCACCACACAGCTGCGCGGCCCTCCTGGACACCACCCCGCACACGGTCTTGACGAGGATACTGTCGTCACAGGTGCTGTTCAGGCCCAGCTGCTGGAGGATGGCCCGGACCTGGAGCAGCGCTAATCGGTCACTGCGGTGGACAAAAGCCAGGAGGCCAGGTGAAGCGGGAGCCACGAGAACAGCCTGGGAGCCGACTCCAGAGGACCGGCCCAATTCACTGCCCTTCACAAATAGGGTCATGGGGTTTTTCTCCTTCAAAATAACATTCTTTTTTTAATGATCCCCAAAGTATTACATATTAAATTGTAGAAAATCTGGCAAATCTAGAAATATTAAAATTGGAAAATTAAAACTATCCACAATCCCAACAC